GGGGGCTGAGCCCAGCATCCTGCCCCTGCCTCTCCTGGCCGGTCCCCGGGGGGCTGAGCCCAGCATCCTGCCCCTGCCTCTCCCTGCTGGCCCCGGGGCTGAGGGCAAGGGCGCTGGTGTGCCGCAGCTCCTCATCCTTTCTTCTTCCACCAGAGGCTCCTTTCTCACCAAGAAGCAGGATCAGGCAGCCCGGAAGATCATGAGGTTCCTGCGGCGCTGCAGACACAGGTGCTCCCTTCCTGGGCTGGGTCCCCCAGGGCACCTGCACACCCCCCGCCCCAGCCTCGCGGCGGCCCCATCAGCTAGTCTCCTGACTCCGTCCCCGTCTCTCTGCAGGATGAGGGAACTGAAGCAGAACCAGGAGCTGGAAGGGCTCCCCCAGCCCGGACTGGCCACCTGACCTGCGCCCCGCTTTCCTCACCGCCCTGGGGGCCGCTTCTGGCAGTCTTAACAGGGAGAGGGCTCTCCGGGGGAGGGGAGCCCCCTGTCGGCAGCTGTCCCCCTCCCTAGGTCTCCGCCCTGCCCCACCTCAATCCCCTGGGTCGTGCCCCCACTCTTTCGGCCCCCCGACCCGCGAACCCCACCTCCCTGCATCTTCCGCCGTGACCTCCGGAGCCCTGCCTGCCCCTTCTCCACGGCCTCCTCTCTGCCTGCACCCGTCTCGACCCTTCCTGACTTGCCTTATTTATTTGTTGGACGCGTCTCTGAATGTATCCGCCTCGGTCCCCCCTCCGCCGCGCGCCCCTCGTGTCGCAGGGCCGACCGCGCCCCCACCCGACTCCGCATGTTGGCGTGTGCCCCCTCCCTCTGCGGCCCGCCTCCCCTGTCGCCCGCCGGCGGCCCGCGGTGCCCGGGCCGGAGGGGCTGTGCGGGGGCGCGCGCCGCGGAGCCCGCCCCGTCCCCCCCCGTCCCCCGAGGGGAGGGGGCCTGTACATACTGTAACATACAGAGTATAGTGAAGAATCTATTTAAGGCGCCGCGGGGAGGGCTGCACGGCGCGGCAGGGGCCCCCGGCCGGCTCCACGAGCACTTTCTACTTGTGCATGGGCTTGGTTTCTACGAGTTGCCATTAAACATCGCTGCACCAGCCAGCCTCCGGCCTCTGTCTGCGCGGCGCTGGCGGGCGGGCGGGGCCTCGGCCTGCGGGGGGCGGCGGGCGGGGCGGGCGCGGAGCTTTCCGCCTCCGACGTGTTTCCGGCCTTAAAGGCATTTCGCCCTTCCCTTTAAGACGCACCGCCCTTTCTCAGTCACTCCCAAGATGGCGGACCTACTGGGCTCCATCCTGAGCTCCATGGAGAAGCCACCCAGCCTCGGGGACCAGGAGTCTCGGCGCAAGGCCCGAGGTGAGGACCCCAAATCCACAACCGCCTTTCTTCGCCCGGTTCTCAGGACCGCACTCTTCCCCCTTCGGACGATGCCGCCTCCTCAACCTTGAAAGACCCCCTCACAGGCCCCTACGGAGACCCCCAGAGTCCGTAAAAGGGCTGCAGGCCCGCCCGCTGTTCTTAGCGGCCGGTGATTGGCTGCCTGGAGCCGAGCTCCAGCCTCCCGCCTTTTGCCTACTGGCCTTCCTCAGTCCTTGTTTCCAATTCGCCGGCGGGCCCGCCCGTCCGCCGCTGTCGTGCTCTGATTGGCTGGCTGCCTCCAGCCCCTTGGCGTTCTTCGCCCCCCTCCCCCGCGCCCGGGCCCGCCTGCCGGTCCGAAGGGGGCGTGTCCAGCTCGCGAGCCCTCCCCCGCGCGCCCTATCCGCATTTCGATTGGCTCCGGGGCACGCCCGTCCGCAAGCCCTTCGCCCCCATTGGCCCCCTCCATTTCCGGTTCTGCCTACGACGTCTGGTCCGACCTTCCTCGGGCCCACCCCACCCTCGGCGCCTCGGATTGGTGGCCGGGCCCGCTCTGTGCCCTGCGCCCCCCTACCTGCTTTCCCCGGTCCCTTCCGCGTCCCCGCCGCCCTTCCCTCGTGGGCAGCCGCCCAGTCCCGGCCGCACTGCCGATTGGAGGCACGGGGGCGCCCCGGCCGTCCGATTGGCGCCCTCCCCGGCGGGCGGGCTCAGGTCCCT